GGGGGAATTAAAGCCAACAAACAAACTCATATGACCCAGTACTATCTGGAATACATTTCAGGCTAACAAAAAGAAAGGCTAATGTGGAAAGTCCCAGCCACTCAGCAAGTAGCCCTCTCTTTTCAATCAAACCACTAACGTAATGCATTAACACTTGACAAGAGAGAGGTTTCTCCTTCACAGAAATCATTAAACAAAGCCAGCATCATTAACACCATGGGGTGAAGGTGGAGGAAGTGGGGAGTCATTCCTAGACACTAACTTTTATTTCAACCCCATGCCCTCTGCTTCCCACCCGGCCTCTTGGCATTACCACAGGTGCCAAGAGACAACGATGGCCCTTGCTGGAGGTGCCCCATTGCTCGTCTAAACCAGGCTGTGACATTGGACACATGGGTACCACAGCAGCTCTAACCACATCGCAGAGAGGTTTCACACAGCAATGCAAGAATCACTCCAACAAGCAGTTTGTCAATGCCTGCCTGTCCTTGACTTGCTACAGAAAACCCAGAGTGGGCACAAAGAAGAAGAAAAATACCTTTGGCCCACCCAGCAGTCAAGTGAAAAGGGACAATTAAATTCTGCCCAAGGAATAACTCAGCTTGCATTAGGCAAGGTTGCAATTCTTCCTTACATTTGCTATTTTTGTTGCCGATCAATCACAAACCTATCAGCAGGTCGACAGCCAACTTTGGCTCCAGAGAGGCCTTCCAATAAAATAAAGCTTGTTTATTCAGTATGTACCACCTGTGCAGAGGACTATGGTGAGTCTCACTAGCAAGCTGAACCTGAAATCAGTTTTTCCATCTTTCATCGCTGAAGTGTCAGATCAGCCAAGGGAACCATTACTAAGGTCTTGTACACGAAAAGCAATTTGGGACGTACACGGACCTCTCCACGAACCCAGTCACCAGAGATGTCCTGGCAATCCAGTCGCATCATGCCTGTGCATGTGAGCTTTGAGCAATCCATGACTGACCATTGCAAAGTTGCAACTCCCTAGGGTAATACTGGTCCACATCAGAAGGCATTTATTATAGCTATGTGACAGACAGACATGAAAGCAGCATCTTAAAGATCACAGAAGTTACACATGGTGGAAGCTGACAGAGGGCACGTGCGGCCTAATGGCAAACGTGTCCCACTGTCACATCAAGATGTAACAACAGTAATATCTCCAATACCTCCCATTTAGTCTGGTCTTATAAGAGTAGAACAAGAGACTAGCACTGTGTTTGCAGCACTATCTAAAGGCAATATTGGGACAACACAAATTAGGGTCAAGAAAGAAGACCCAAAAGGGCAAAGGAATATCAAACAGCATTTTGCCTGAGGTCTGTTACCAAAAAATGCTTGTGATTAAAAGCTATGTTGGTATGCTGAGGGTTATACAATTTCTATCCATCCAGCACAGGACAATTTGACCTACAGCAGAACAGAACACAAATAACACCCTCTGGTTTGGGCCATAAAACGTATGTGGTGGTGCTGCTTAGCGATACTTGCTGAATCCTTTCAATAGACTTTTGTCCATTTTGATGTGTGGTTGCTAAGGGAACTTTTCTCCCAGTAGCAAACCCAAAATTTCCTGAAAATATCTCCCACCTTTTGTTCCTGTTCAGGGCTTCTGGGAAAGAAGCAAGAGGGACACAGACAGGCAGTTCCCACTGAAATCACTAGCTATGGGATTTAGCAGAGGGTGGCAGAACAATGACCTGTCCCATCAAGACCTTAAACATAGAGGAGACAGTTAAATGTTCAATGTTAAGAGCAAAGACTTATCTTGTAGGTAGTCAACTTGATTTTATTTTTGTGCCTTATGCCATCATCCTACAAGACAAGTCCAGCCTCCCCTCCTCCCTAGTAGCCTCAACCTCATATTCACAAAAGTCAGGATGAAGACTGGAGCACAGTTTTACAAAGAATGCTACATATGCTTTTTCTACAACACGCATAAGTTCCCCACCTTCAGTAAAGGCCAGCACTAGTCCTGCCAGCAAAAGCCACACTAGTTGCATTGTCTAACCTTGGGCAAGATCTGTGCCTACCTACTGCAGGTGTTGGGATGCCAGTAGCTGTCCACACACTCTTGCCAACAGAGGATCAAGAAAACCCTTAAGAGACAGTATTTACACACTTCACCTACATCAGTCTCATTTGTCTTATGCCTTGTTGCCTGGAATCACTGACCTGGCAGACTTGCCTATTACCCATACAGGTAGCAACATCAGCACGGCAGACTAAGGAATACAAGATCAAAGATCCCTGCTAAAGCCACACTCCACACCAATTGCACTGCACCTCCTCACACCAGCAGTCATCTTAACCCAGATGCCTTCCCACTAACGTGTTCGTGGCACAGGCTGAGCAGACATTGCTGGGTGCAAATGTAATTAGTTGTATATACTTTTGTTCTCTTTGGAATCCATCTATTAGTTTATGGATTTCATTACATTATTAGGAGAGGAGATTCACCTCTTCGGAAAGAATAAGCTGCTATCCCTACCTCTGTGGTCAATGTTATACCAAGTTTTTCAACACTAACTACAGGAAAGAAGACAACCCCTGGTACGTACAAAGCAGCACAGAAAGGCACCTTGGCATGAGCACCTGGTCCTACAAAAACCCACAGCTCGAAACAGATTTCATGTTTACAATTATTTAAAAAGAAAGGTGAAATCATCTCAAGCTTGCCTGGAGTGAGGAGAGTTGCACAGCAAGAGGCTAATCGAGTGCAGTTTATAGACAGATATCAAATTCTAAACAGAAACATCCTATTTCAAAGCTGGAAACAAGACTGAGCCATAAACAGAGCAATACTTATCCAGAAAGCAACCACTCAGATTAATTGTTCCCAAGAGAGAGAAAGAAATTAAAAAACAACCATGCTGGAGACTTCACACAGCAGATTCAGAGAGGTATTACCAGAGGAAGCCTGCCCTTCTCCTTCCAGCTTCCCCTAAGGCAAGTGAACTAATAAAAGGCAAGAAACAAAGTAGTTCTGGGTGAAAGGGATGTGAACTGCCCCGCTTGTCCACTGCACCACACTAGACACTGGAGGAAGAAAAATCTCTCCTTTCTCTAGTTCAGGCAACCAAAGGATTTCTACAGCTCCTATGGATGGAATTTCAGTACTTTACCGTAACAGTAAGCTTTTCTGCCTAAGAAACACCCCCAACACTCATGGATGGCAGTCCTAAGAATAGCATCCACCGACTAGGTCTGAAGAGGTGTGGAGGGGGGATCCCATTCATTAAGAAAAAAACTCCTACCCAAAACCAAAGAGAGAAAGGGATTGCAAGCACCCTGCTGCTGCTACACACACATACCCCCTCCCACACAACTCACTGCAAACACCGTCACTGCAGGCTACCCTGGTAGCTTGGGAGCTACATTTGGCCAAGGAACAAGCAGGAAACATCTCCCTATCAGTCTCCAGAGCCATTCAGCTCCAGGCCAATAGCCCTGGTGTTTAGGAATTCTTCGCAAATGGCTTTCACATGCTAAACTGCTAAATAACCTCTGGGGCAAATTCCCACTAGAACAAAAACACACACTGCAGCTCACTAGGGATTGAGCCTTTTGGAGTCCAAGGGAGGCTGGAGTCATTTACGTGCTCATACAATTCACTCTCTTTTCCTAGCTGTTCAAAGAGCTGCTGCATCATAGCAGTAAAGGGCTTACAGTACCTTGCCATAGAAGTCACTCATCTGGTACAGGGGGATGTGCTGCGTACCACCGTAGAGTTCGATTACCTCTTCGTCAGGCACTGGTTTGAGCCCTCTAGACACAAAATAACAGAAATAGTTTGTCAATAATCACTAGTCTGCACAGAGTTACAAACTGCAGAGAAAGAGAAGGTGGGACAAACAGGTTCCTTTCGAAAACTCACAAATTTCTCTTGCACAAAAGAGCTAGCCAGAGAGACTGACAGCTCCATGGTTTCTTAAGATTCACATAAAATCTTTCAGGAGACATTCTTCAGATACCTTGTTTGCTCCTTCAAGTTAATTGAGGGGCTTTATCCACATTCCAGCAGAGAGTTCAGAGGCTTCTCTCTCTATGCTGTCAATCTGCTGATGGGACTGCTGGAGTAAACCGGCCCCTCGACCTGACTTTGGCAGCACTGGGTAACTGTAGGTTTGAAGAGGTTGTTTCTACGAGGTGTATCACCATTAAATGCAAAGGTGTAAGAAAAGAGCTTTCTGAAAATGGGATTTCCTTCCTATTCAGTTTACCTAAGCAAAACAAGTTCTTCACTAAGACCATTCAATAGAGATAGCTGTTTGTCCCCAAAACATCATAATCACAGGTGAGCTGTACCTTTAGTGAACATGAGGTTATCTGACTGCTGCCTCTTGCACAATTTTTGATGGCTGTTAACTCAAGCAGTCAGCAACTTTCCCTTTCTCCTTTCCTATTCAATCATGGAACAGCCTCTGAGAAGTCAAAAGTTGTTGCAGTTGTGCTCAAAAGCAAAGGACAGTTTAGGAAAAGGACACTTAAAGAAGCATAGTTACAAATGGATAATAGGGAAAAAAGTTTAAATGTGTTTTAGCTAAAAATCTCTTGAGGAAGCTGAAGTGAAATACAGGGTAGTACCAACCCCTCCTTCCCAATCCCCCAAAAGCTAGCATTCAAAGAAGCCAATTCTCTCTGATTATGAAACTCCCTTCTTAATATTCTTAGAGTGTTTACTGTAACTGAAGCTTAACAGCAAAAGGGCAGAGTTCAAGAAAAGAAAACATTGGTTTCCATGCTCAGGAAATACAACACAGATTTACAGGAGTTTTGCTACCAATATCTATGAATTACTACTTCTTACACATCAAGCCCACTCCACTTTGGGGCAAGTCTCCAGTCTCACAACTTTTTGGAGAAAAGTTTGCTCTGCACTGTTTCAGCCACTTATTCCAAAGCACACTCAGCTCTCCTTGGAAAACAAGAGAAGAGAAGGAAAAATAGAACAACCTTGGCCTTAAGGCCCTGATTCTGATGCATCATTTCTTTATTGACGTCTGTACTGCTTTAAGATTTTATTTGCACATCCAAACCACTCTCCTCTTAGCTTTGTGACAAGGCACAGCAGACCACTGCTGGGATATACAGGCCTGTCTTCTCCAGGCAAGAGCGTATGTGGGCCACACACAGAGGAGTCCTTTCCTAGTTGCACTGTTTGCTCACTGACATTAGCCCAGATATGCTGTAGCTGCAACTCAGACATCGTGCAGGGTACGTGACCAGATGCATCATTAACCATTACACAAAGCTCTAGGTCTTTCCACCCACACTTGGCTTGAAATGCTTGAGAAAAATAACTCCCTGCAATTATATGCCAGGTAAGCCCTCGAAGCAAGTGCAAACAGGATAAGCCAGATGCGACTGTGCTCTGCTCAGAAAAAAAAAAAAAAAACCACAACAAAAAACCCAAACCAAAAACCACCCAATATGCCATGAACATATAGTCAGGTTTAGTAATCCACCTTTGCATATATGGGCATTTAGAAAATAATTTTCAGAACTGACTGACCTATATGCCGTCCCCAGCTGGACATAATGGAAAGCATCGATCTTCATCAGAAGACTCTGTGATAAGGGATAAATATTTACTGTTAGAATTGGGTAGGTTTGCACTGAAACCTTATTTAAGTTTCAATTTCCACAGAAATTATATTTAGAAAATAAAATTCAATATAAACATCCCACATCTACGTATTTTAGGCTGCACTTATTCCCCAGGCACTTTTAAACACACTTATTCATACAGTGACTTTTTATCGGCCTCTATGGCAAAAAGATCATCTTTCTATGAGCTGAAACACCACTGTCTGTTATGCTCCAGAGTTTGTGGACAGGGATGCAGTTGAAAAACAAAGAGAACAATGTTTCTGTGCCTCAGTCAGTCTCTTCTTATCTCCCTTCCAAAAGCACACACATTCCAAAGGAGCTTTGTGTGCACAAGAGATCTCTTTCTCCTCACGTTTATCTTAAGCAGAACTAAGTGGGCAAGTTTTGGTTTAGAGCGCAGCTTTGCCCAGTTGTTTTCTCTACACAAGAGCTCTCCCCTCCACCACTTCTCCCTCTCCCCAACAGACATATAAGCAAAGATGTTCACAAGCACACCAGACTGGTAACATCAGAGCTTTCTTTGCATTTTTTTGTACCAGACTCCTCTATTCATGCGTCATCCCTTCTCCTCCATCCATCATTCTGAAGCCATAACACAAGTTCTCAGGGCATGGAAAGCAGCCTCACACTAAACCTGCATTGCTTTGCAACTTGAGTGAGGACACAGCATCAAATTATTTGTGCTGTTTCTACCACAGTGCAAGGTAGTTGATTCCTTGAGCATTCACAACCTTCAGGTACCTTCTTTTATCAGGATACCATATCAGTGCAGCTTGTTACACCGTGGGCAGACTTCCCACTAATTTGTGAGGAGTGTAGACAAACATGCTGAAAGACTTAGACAGGCACTACCCAGTTTTTCATGTGTTTTGCAAACTCTGATCCTGAGAAAAGAGAGTTCTCACCTTCTACTCAAAGGGCGCTTCACTTGGCTAGGCTAGTCACTTCTGTGTTGCTCTGATGTATCAGCCAGAGATTTAAACAGAGAAAGAAACTTCAGTTTCTCACAGATCTACTTCCTACTTTGTAAAGTCAGAGGCATGAGTGGTCTGCTGCCATGCTGTCACGGCAGTTAGGACAAAAGACACAGGAAAACTCTATATTGTTTTTTCCTCATTCTCTTTTGTTGACACTGATGGAGAACAGCACACACACTCCAGCCTGTACTGCCTGCTTCCCTGAATTTGCTCAAAGCTCAACATAAGAAAAGCTACTACAGTGAAGCAACTTTCTCTGCTGTGCTTCCACCTGACTGCCCGGCTGCATCACAGCAGCATTACACCACTGGGCATCAGGCTTTCAGGGAATCCTTCCAAAATACTGAAAAGGGTTAAAGCTAATGCTTGCACTTTGCTTGCCTGTGCTTCTAAGAAGCATGCATCTCAAGTAGCTTGGATCTTTTTCCAAGCAGTCCTATTATTCGGGGTGGGGGGCGGGGAAGGCTTCCTAAAGCATTCTCTGACATGTCATTTCTATTATTAGAGTAAGACATAATGCCTCTGCTCCTGGCAAGTACTTGTAGATGCAAGATTGAGGTTTGTTTAAATTTCCTGAAAGACAGAAACGATCATGCAAACAAGACGAGTTTTCTATTAATTAGCTTGTCAAATTAATTGACTTTTAAATTGACAAGGCTGTTTACCAGAGGTCTTTGCTAGAATGTCCCATTCTGCTAGAGGCTATGTGAACACAAAAGACATCTTTCCCTTGGAAAGTTTATAAGCAGGAAGAACCCAGGCAGTGAAAAGCACAGCCACCCGGACTATGTATTTCACTGATCGTTTGGTGATCGATGTTATTGTAAGCAATGACAAAGTATTTCCACTAAAAACAGAATGGAAGAGAAGACAGAGCCCAGGAGACTGAACTTTGTACAGCTTACCTTTTGTACATCATAGTGAAGTCCACGTATGGCAAACCCTGGAATGTAGTCATACTTCGCAAGCCCTTCTGGATACTGGGAAGACAGACAGTGACATGGTTAGAGGCATAAGCATTGGGTTATCAACAAAATTATTTCACCTGTTGAGCTGGCTTAGCCCTGCCTGTGTCTCACCCCAGGCATAAACTGACCAAGGAACAGGTGCACTTAATTTTGCCCCTTCAACAAAGAAAGCAGATGAATGGAGAAAGACATAAATGATCAGGATCCCCAAAATTAGTTTCTCTCATGTAAAGGACATTAGTGAAAATGTAACAGATTCACTCAGGCAGTGAGGACACTTCTAGTAAGCTCCATTCAATCCATGTATTTGGTACAGCAATGGCACTGCAGAGCCCCTCTAAAAAGAGAGACATGACAAGAAGAAAATGCACAGGCTAGTCACCTATTGCAAACAGGGTGTCTGTTACTGGACACACTATACAGCCTCATCCACACTGACTTGCACATGTCAAGTCCTGTACAGCTTCAGTGGTGGCTCACGGTTCGTGTTTATCCACCATGTGTACCTCGAACCAGCAATTCTGTAGGCATTATTTCCATGGTTATGTAAAACAGACCAGACCTTTCTAGACTAAGGTTCCTCTTCCATATTTATAAAACTTCAGGAATGTAGAGCATGGTAAATTGTCTCAAAGGGAATTAATTCCACACAGATACAAAACTTTCTGCAATCAACGATTGTGAAACATGAAATTTATCTCAATAAAACAAGTAAATGACACATGCACACAATGAGGCATTTTGCAAGCAAGTCTGGGGCGTTGCAAAGACAGCAGTAAGCTTAGTTGAGTGGAAATTCTTAGCACATCATTACCTTGAATTGTTCTATTAGGATGTCTCTGGCAGTGTTGAAAATCATAGAGTGTAGTAAATTCGAATACTGAGCTAATGTGTAATCATAGTCAAAGCCATATATCTCAACATCTCCCAGGCTGATCTCGTTGTTAGCGTAGATAGCGGCTGGGTTGAGGAGATTGCAGACTCCTGGTGGGAGGAGATCTAAGAGAAGGGAAAGGGGAGAGGTTAGAGAAACTGAGAGGATCACCGAAATTTCAACTTTTCATTGTGGACCTGACAGCAGCTGGAAGTACCACACAGCAGCAGCAGAGGAGCGCAGTGCTGCTGTCAAAAGCTGCTGCCGTTAACCCACTTAAATAATCCTCCCCATGAAAAAACACACTGCGAAACCTCTGGCTGTGTTTGGTGATGGTGCTAACCACTTTCAGAATAAGACTGACCTTTTGTGTCAGTACACAGGTCTCTGGCCTACATAAAGCAAAGCAGACCAGAGATTTTGAAGTGTCAAATTTCTAGCTCACAGCAGCTGCATTTTCAGTAGGCTCACCAATGTGAAAGGTAGCTGTAATGTATCATCAGAAAAACATGCACCCCTCACTTAAAACTTGAGCAAGACAAACAGGCTAACTCTCCTCTTTGAGAAACTTCAAAGATTACCTCAAATTAGAAATTTTGAGGTTTGCCTTTTGGCATTTTTTGTTTCTCACAGAAGCAGCCAGACTTCACAGAACAATCCTGCAGGTACCAATAGGGCTTATTATTATTATTACTAATCAGCAGGATAAAACAAGGTTTTGTACAAACACCAACAAAATGTAAAAAAAAAAAACCCAACACATTAAGCTCTGCTCTTGGCACAAGTAATGCAGATAGCAACTAGTTATCTGCTTTCCTCTGATAAACAGCTGTGGAAACAGCTCAGTCCTTGAGTGTGGGTTGTCACTTCAAAACGGTCACTGTTCAAGATTATTGTGAATAACACTTGGCTCCCCAGACCACTGGGAAAACAGGGGTTAAGTGACCTAGCAGCTGAACTACCTGTATATCCTTTTTCAGAGCTAGTCTAGAGAGCCTTAGCTGCACTACAATGGGAGAGACAGGAACAGACCCTCCCCGGGCTTCCCGCTCCAGAGAGCTGTCCATTGCAAGATGAGAAAGAGCAGTAAAAATAGTTCCCCGTAGTAGGTTGCCTAGTCACATCCACACTGGGGGACAGAGAGGGGAAGGAGACATTTCCTCCCCCCTCAAAGACGGGTAATTTTCTCTTTGAATGATAGGAAAAGTGCAGACATTTTCCAGATCCTACACAGCATCAGTGGGTAGGATTTTTTTTGTCCCTTCCTACCTTTACTTTTGGCTTTTAGCAAGAACCCCTGTGCCGGTTCTTTAGTGCTTCCTTGCTATAAAACCAAGTTTCATTTGAATCTAGAACAAAAAAAATATTATTAGAAAGAGATACCAGCCAATAAAGACTTTATTTGGAATGATTACACAATTTAGGTAAAAGTCCGAAGCACATTTGCGAGCAGTAATCCAAAGAGGTGACCAAAGAAATAGAGGTGTCAGATATATCATAATACTTGTATTTCAGGGGACAGAAGCATTACAAAACATACCAACCCCCTCTCTGAGCTCACTTTCCTTTGGCCTTCAAATGCAATTCACCAGATCAACTAGAAAAGAAAGCAGTATTTTAAGGCAGGAGGGCTGACTTACTGGCTACACAGCAAGAACAAGAGCCTTCTTTCAGTGACTGCTGGTGGCAAAGTTCCTGGAAGATGCTGATGAGAGTGGACACAATCAGAGTACTTTCCACTGGGATTTTAAGAGATGGGAAATGTAAATAGGATTCAGATGATCATAACTTTCATCCTCTCATCATAAATGCTCTCTGCACCATAAACAAACAGAGCTCCGCTTCCTGTCCTCACCTCCAGATAACTTGTGGGAAGATCTTCTTCTAAGCATACACTGGGATTTGCAGGGTGTTATGTTTCTTCCTCACCAGGAAAATGACACAACTCTAATCACATCACAGTGCAAATATGCAGTGCTTTCCTCTCCTAATGAAAGCACTTTTTTTAGGGCAAATGCACCCCACTTGTTGCTACCATATCCCTACAGAGAGGTCACTCTTCCAACATTCACCATTTGCTAACAGATTTTTCACAACACATTTTGATAGTCTGAGAGCAGCACAAAATACCATTGCCCAAACTCCGTCTCTCCTTTCACAGAAGACACGAGACCCATCTAGATTCAACGACATACTGCAAAAATACAATAGGAAAAGCTAAGGGAGCGGTATGATTCTGTAAAAGGGTAGTCTGAGATTCGCCAAGCGCATGAAGCAAGTCTTATCTGTGATCAGAAGCATGAGGAGTAACTGTGCCACAGTATATGAAGTATATTTAGACTGAATGAAGTCATACTCCTCTGTGCCAGCCTCAAATGTGCAGAGCCTCTCTGCTCTTCTCTGACAGCCTCCTGCCGAGCTCATTTTACCCCACTCAGACATTTTGTCACTAACACAGCATGTTCTCTCTTACCTCATAAAGGCTGAAGAAATATGCATATGCTAGCCAAAATGCTTTGTCACCATTGCCTTACACATCACGTGTTTCCTACGCACACTTTTTGGAGCACCGCAAATCTTGCTGTCTTTCCTATCACACGTCATCATCACCAAACCAAACTTGCAGCAGCTTGTTGACAGCTTGCTTCTTCCACGCTGTCATCCTCGATCTTAAATTTACAGTGTTTTTAAAGTCACTGATCTTCTAGAGAGAAGGAAAAAGCTCTGGGTTTCAGTCCAGAGACTCATGCTGCACGTTTGGTCAGTGTAAATGTCCATTTGCAGCATCCTCCTCAACAGAGCGGTCGGTGTCAGTCTCCTTTTTATGCTCACAGCCCCATCACAGGTTCAAACTGCATCAGGAAAGATAAGTTGGGAGCACACGCAAGATCGGTTTAAATACAAGAGCCCAAACATGCCTGGCTTACTGAGCCAGCTTTCAAGAAGTTTGGGGTTTGGGTTGGTTGGTTTGCTTTGCTTTTTTGTGGGTTTTTTTGTTTTGTTTTCAGGGTTTTTTTTTTTTTTTTTTTTTTTTTTTTTTTAAGATAACACCTGGGTGGCTACAAATTGTGAGTGCTTAATTAAATCCTGAGCTGCAGACTTGGGCACTGCTGCTCTGCTGACATTCAGCACGTAATCTGCCAGGGCTCCCTCAGTTTGCATGGCAATCATGGAGTCAAAACAGACAACACCACCCTCTAGAAGCCCATGAAGATGCCATTTTTCAAGAATGATAGCTTTTGCTTGTCCCCTGTCAAGACACTGAAACAGATTGCTAGACAGATATGATAAATTACAGCAAGAAAAAAAAAAAACCACCAAAAACCACAAAACCCCACCCAAACCAAAATGAAAACCAGTTTTGGTTATTTTAAAAGAATGATAGTCCCAACTACTCTTTCCATCTGGGTCCTAACTGGAAAGGGAGACAATATCACAGTTAGTCACTGTCTACTCAGCGCTTCACCCAGGAAGTATGATCTAAGGGAGATCTGGTGTGCGTACATCCGAGGACAGTGAGGGAAAAACAGCTCTTGCAATAGATACAAACCCCTGGAATCTGCACACTTGCACAATTTGCTCCGGTTTGCAACTCTGACAGTTTTAAGGGAAGTGTCTGCATATCCACGATACATGATGAAACTCAGACAAAGACAGACCACAAGAAAGCATGTTTGATTTTATGCATTTTTTACACTTGGGTGTAAATGCAAGGTAAACACACAACATCTTAATTTTACTACTATGAGGCCCTGAACAGCTGCTTAAATTGGAATGTCTTCATGACAGTACAAGTGCCTCTTCCCAGGCAATAGCCCACATTGTTAGAAAGCAATAACACTCAATCCCCAACAGGACAGCAGAGATGGAAACAAAAGCAGGTAATTAACTGTGAGCAATGGTTAGAGATGCCAAGACACCATATGGCCCCTTCTGATGTGAAAAACGCTCTGGTCAGGAGGTGCCAAGTACATCCCGTGCTGCTCTGAGCTCCCGGGGGTACCAACAGCATCATGCAGGAAACACTCCTTTTCTCTCAGCCTCAGATCCAGCATGTTAGTGAAGAATAATACATAAAAAGGCAACTCACACCCCTCTCTCACACGCTTTGTACTCCCAGAGGTCCAACACAGCAGACATCTGCACTAATTTCTTTGTAATATTAGCGAGGAAAAGAACGATATTGATATGCCAATGCAATCATGACACAGGGGTGTTGTCTTCTCTCCCATTTCCAAATACAATGGGCACATGTTGCTGACTGTAGCTTGCATTATTTAGAGGCAAAGGTATCTCCTGATCCACACAAACTAAAAAGAGCAAGGACTACCTCTGAGCTACACCCTCAGTGTTATCAATGCCTAACCAAGTTCTTGCTATCTGCAAACTTGTCCCTATTCTCAGTAGTTCTCACATTTAACCACACTCAAGCTTGTCAAGCAGAGGCACGAAGTTAACAGTTATTCTAAAGCTTCCTTAGGAAAGCTGAGTTACTGTAGCCACGATTACAAGTTTGAAAGACCTAGGAAAAAACACACTTGCTTACAGCCAAATCCTCACTCACTTGGCCAGTTCCATTGAGTTTCAGGATTGGATGTTTCCTAGAGTGCAAGACCTCAGACATTCCTTACTGAGAGACTGTATCAGCTTTCCTTGACACTTCAGATGCCAGCAAACCAGAATGCAGCAAGTCTTGCTCAACACCACCCCTCTGACAAATGCAATTATACTTTTCCTTTTCGCAGCGAAAAAAACAACACAGAAAATGGAAGCAGTGTTCTCAAATTCTTACAGGTAATGAAATTCGGTCCCAAGAGTCAAAAGTTCCAAAAGGTAGGAGAGAATAATGAAGAGAATGGCTTCTCTTGAGCTAACTCTAAGGGGAGATTTTACCTCAGAAGCACCTTTTGTGTAGCTATGTTGTGCTGTCATTTGTATCACCACACTCAAGCCTGGCAGAATACAGATGTGTGTTGTTTCTACAAAGTTGAGAACCTCCAATGCCTGGGTTCTGACCACCAAGCCCATACCACCACTGATCTTTACTGCATACAAGCTGTCATCCTGCACATCCTGCCCTGTCCAACTCAGCATGTATCACTGGAATCCCCTCTGTGCAAAACTGCGACATCGCTCCATAAATCAGGTCCTAAGCAAGAGCTGGTTTGAAAACACATAATTCTCCTGGCAAAACAAAAACCTGTTTTCAAAACCAATAGCAACAACTGACAATATAGAACAAAGAACTTCACAAAGGTGGAGTTTCAGAGAAGGAAGGAGAAGGTGGCACAACAGGAGTCTTCTCAAACTCAATGCCAATGAGTACTGAGACATGACAATGTTTTCAAATCCATAACCCAACCAGAGACATTCACTTTTACATTAGAGTTAGAAATCAAGAACAAAGGAACAAACTGATGCCACATTTTGCACGACTCAGTTTAGTCGTCAAAGCAACAATTAAAACCAATTGGAATCATCTCTATTTATGTCTCTTCTTGACAAGACTTGAGTAACAACACAGTCTTGAAATTTTGGTCTGGGGAGCTATTCTTTAAACAAATGGGGGCCACCTTATTTAACATGTCTAATAGCTTTGTAAAGAGTCTGCTCTGTAACACATGGGCTACTTCACCCAACTTCGTTTTGCATTTAGTCCTGCTGATTAGTTCTCCACCTCAAGTGATAACTGTATCTCTTGCATCCCAACAAAGTGTAACTACATGAATACAAACTTCACAATCTATCACATAGTAAAGTGTGCATTTTCCCAAGGGACCACGACATAGCCATTAACACATCTGCATTCACGGTTTCAATACCACTATGGAAAAGAAAAAAAAAGTCTTTGAGGATATTAAGGTCCAAACACCATTACAAGTCTTGCGAGCTGGAATTTCTTTCAAGCAGTGGGGCTAAAACCACAAGTCACTCCTAGAGCAGAAACTTAACATGAAGCTACCGTCCTCTATCAGCACCTTGTACTACCTTCAGCAGCTCAGGCAAAGGAGCTCACATCCTGCAAAAGCTGGGATGCAGCAGGCTGAGCACCCAACGGATCAGCGGCCAACTCCTTTACATTTGCGCATCACAAAGGATGTTAGATTTTATGTCAAATCTCATATACTGGAAGGTGGGCGAGGAAGGAATGACAGAAATTGCCAATCTCAGAACAGTAAGACGGTTCTTCCAGGTGGCTGGCTGCCTTCCTTCTCCGAGCCCTTAGTTAAACGAAAGCAAACGGAGAGCTATTTAACAGCAGACACAAAGTCACACTTCCTAGTGCAAGCACTCTACAGTGCCTACCTTCAACATTCCAAGAATCAAGAAACCAGCAAGAAAAACCTCCCAGGCCTTATGCCACAAAAGGTATTCTTTCACACTTTTAGGAAAGTTTAATACAGTGGAGATCTGCTGCTGCCAAAAAGACCACAATCCTGTTTTACGCATGGACAGATTTGGTGAACGGTGTGAGTTTTCTCCTCCCTTAGCAAGATGTCAATGTACCTGACAGAGCCAGGTAACTTCTTGGCCAGAGGAGCAAAACCACGCACGCACACACCCACGAGTAAAAGGTGTTTCGCATCTGTAACACAAACTAAGCTCAAGATCAGGAGACATCCTAGTAGCTTTAACATCAGTCTTCTCCACGCTCACCCTTGTGCCAACAGCGAGTTACAAGTTGGAGCTGGGACTCCTCACCACTTCAGTCAACATCGTTGTCTATTTGTCCTAGTTTAACCACACTTCCATATGCCAACCAGTGGCAAGTTAGAGAAAAATGCAACAAGCCCATCATTTAGACCATTCACCACAACGATATCCATGTTAGGGAGGCCAGTTGTGAAGAACCGGACACGTTCTATGTGTCCTGAAATGCTGAGACCAGCCGAGGGATGTTCACAGAAGGAAGCCCACGATGAGGAGAGGAAGATGAAGGACAGATTTCAATAGAAATAAAACCGTCCCAGAGAGCCCCAGGGCGATGGAGACGTGCAGATGGCATCGTCGGGGAGAAGGCTTCTAACCCCGGCAGCTGCAGAGCAATGGGCACATCCCCAGTTCTGCAGCACTGCGAAAGGCACCAAGATGCAAAGAGAGGAAAAAAAGGAGAAAAAAAAATGAAAAAGAAAAAGCCCAATCCCGGCAGGACGTGGCAGTCCCAGCGCCCGGAGGCGGCCCTTACCGTAGACCAGCTTTTTCATCTCGTGGTACCTGGCCCACAAATAGGTCTTGGTGTCGGCTCCCTCGGCCGGGAGCGGCTGGCTGCTCGCGGCGGGG